AGGGACCTGATGCATCACTATTTTTTTGAGTGTCCTTTATCCTCTAAATTATTATTATTAGGGACCTTAAAAAAAATTCACTTTTTTTCAAATGTCAAAAAAAACATAATTTTAATTGAAATTAAAAGTCTAAGAAATTATTTTTGTGGCGTCAAGTAAATCTGCCACAACCCCCAATTTACAAGTGCGGTGATCTAAATTACGAGATTATCCATATTAGTAATTTAAGTCAAACCACGTGGCATTTTATGATTGTAAGATTCTGGTCATAGATATTGAAGTACATATTCAGGTTTTAATTTTTTGAATTTAATTTTTTAAAAATTTAATTTTTATTTTTTATGTTTTTTTAGAATATTTTTAAAAATTTTATTTTTTTATATGCATCTTATTTAGATGTATCTAAATAATAAAATATTTATAAAAAATATTTTTTAGAATTAATAAATACACAAAAATATAAAAATTGTACTGAATTTTCATATTTTTTTAATATTTTTTTGGTATTTAGTGATTTTAAATTTTTTTTTTTACAAATATTATATTTTTAAGTGTATTTATGTTGGGTGTGTCTAGGGGTGTAATTTTAGCCCGTGGGCAGTCCGAAGCCTGCCCGTGGCTGGAGGTGCACCTGGCCCGTTAGGCCCGAGCCCAAGCCCAGCCCGAGGCCTTGGGCCATCGTTTTGAGGCCCGGTTCCAGGCCCAGGGCTCGGCTAGCTCAAAAGCCAGGCCCAGGGCTCGGTCCGTTCGGTTCACCCAATGTACAGTGTTATTTTTAATAAAAAATAATAAAATTTTGGTGGAAAATAATAAAATTTTGGTAAAAAAAAAAAAATGTTTTGGCCCGCCCAAGCTTGCCTAAAGCCCAAGCCCAGGCCTAAGCCTAGGGGCCCGTCCCACTGGCCCGACCAAAACCCGAATATCTTTGGGCCTGAGCCTAGTTTTTTGGCTCGTGGGCCGGACCGTTTTTTTTGTGGGAGCCCGCAAGGCCTGACATAGGCTGGGCTCGGCCTGAGCCCGGATAGGCCGGGCCAAAATTACACCACTAGGTGTGTCTAAAAATTTTTAAAAAATTTGCTTAAAATATTAAACAAATTTATTGAAAACATTAAAATATGAAAAATAAAAAAGTAAAATTTTTTGAAAACTATTTTATGAAAACCAAAATCAAACAAGTTGATTATTATTTTCCATATAAATACATGAGTAATTACAGTGACATTTCTTAAGATTTGATTCAATTACATTATACTTTATGATATTTTGAAAATTACATTTTATCCTTGTGATTAATAATCTTATTTCATAAATCCTTACTTATATAAAAAGTAACAGCTTCTAATAAAAAAACAAAAAAAACTACATTGAAACAAGAGAGTTTTTTTGATAAATTCACTTTCTAAGAGCTTTATTCCATCTAACCCATATTCTTTTTTACTATTCCATTAGGTCCTATTTGAGATAAGAAGACCAAAATACCCTTTTCATCTGCTTATGTTCCATTTAGTTCACATTATTTTCTTATGTTTCAATAAGTCCTATGGGTGACATAATTACCAAAATATCCCTAATGTAATTGCTCACACCGTCAATGTGAATGTTCATATCGTCAATGTGTAGGGGTCTGGCCCATGTCGATCCTCGTGGGTGCCCGGAAAAATTCGAGTCGGGCCGGGCGGGCCTGGCCCGTTGACAATGTAAATATTCACATTGACATGTTAACATTCACATTAATAGGAGTGTAAAATTGGCCCGCATTCCGTGGCGACGCGAAACCTACCCGCGGCCCATAGACGGCCCGAGGCGGGCCCGGTCCCGCCTGTTGACAATGTGAATATTCATATTGACATGTTAACATTCACATTGATAAGAGTACAAAATTGGCCCGCGGCCCATGAGCAGCAAAAAGCCCGCCTGCGGCCCGGGGCAGGCCCGGCCCAACCTGTTGACAATGTGGATATTCACATTGACATGTTAACATTCACATTGATAGGAGTGTAAAATTAGCCCGCGCCTCGTGGCTGCCCGAAACCCACCCACGACCTGTGGGGCGGTCCGAGGCGGACCTGGCCCGGCCTGTTGACAATGTGAATATTTACATTGACATGTTAACATTCACATTGATAACAGTATAAAATTGGCCAGCGGCCCAGGGCCAGGGCCGGCCCGACCCGGCCCGTTGACAATGTGAATATTCACATTGACATGCTAACATTCACATTGATAAGAGTGTAAAATTGGCTCGCAGCCCGTGGGCGGCCTAAAGCCCGACCGCAGCCCGAGGCGGGCTTGGCCCAACTCATGACAATGTGAATATTCACATTGACATGTTAATATTGACATTGATAAGAGTGTAAAATTTGTCTGTTGCCCGAAGCTTGCCCGCGGCCCAGGGTAGGCCCGGCCCGGCTCGTTGACAATATGAATATTCACATTGACATGTTAACATGCACATTGATAGGAATGTAGAATTGGCCCGCGGCCCGTGGGCTACCCGAAGCCCGCCCACGGCCTGGGGCAAGCTTATTTGGGTCCGGGCCCGAGCATGTCCGAGACCTTAGGCTAGGGCCTAGGCCATCACTTTGAAGCCTGGCCCCGTCCATCAGCCCACTTAAGGCCCATTCAAGGCTCGGTCCGAGGCCCAGCCCGCTCGAGGCGCAATGTCTTTTTTTGTGAAAAATAATAAAATTTTGGTAAAAGAAAATTAAAAAAAAATAGCCAGGCCAGTCCAAGCCCGACCTAAGCTCGAGGCTAGGCCTAGGCCCACCGGCTCGACCTGAGACTCGATCCATCGGCCCGTCCAAAGCCCAAATGCCCTTGTGCCAGGGCTAGGGCCTGGGCCTAATTTTTTGGCCCGTGGGCCGGGCCGGCCAGGATTTTTTCAGATACCTATGAGGCTCGATATGGGTCGGCCCGGGTCTCTACGCATTGATGATATGAACATTCACATTGACGATGTGAACATTCACATTATGGATATTTTGGTAATTATGTTTCCTATAGGACTTATTGAAATATAAGAAAATAATGTGGACTAAATAGAATATGTAGATGAAAATGGTATTTTGGTCTTCTTATCTCAAATAGGACTTAATGGAATAGTCAAAAAGAACGTAGGCTGCCCGAAGCCCGCTCGCAGCTCGGGAAAGGCTCGTTTGGGCCCGGGCTCGAGCCTAGTCCGAGGCCCTAGGCTAGGGCCTGGGCCATAACTTTGAAGCCCAGCCCGACCCATCCGCCCGGTTAAGGCCCATTCAAGGCTCGGTCTGAGGCCCGGCCCGCGCAGAGGTCTAGTGTCTTTTTTTGTGGAAAATAATAAAATTTTGGTAGAAAAAATTAAAAAGAATTAAAAAAAAATGGCCGGGCTCGCCCAAGCCCGACCCAAGCCTGAGGCCCAGGCCCATCAGCCCGACCCGAGGCTCGACCCACCGGCTCGGGCCCGACCCAAACGAGTCTGCTCCGGGCCGTGGACAGGCTTCGGGCAATGGGCCAATTCTATATTCCTATCAATGTGTATATTAACATGTCAATGTGAATATTCACATTGTCAACGGGCCGGGTCGGGCCTACCCCGGGCCGCGGACAAGCTTCGGGCAACGGGCAAGTTTTACACTCCTATCAATGTTAATGTTAACATGTCAATGTAAATATTTACAATGTCACGGATTGGGCTGCGTTCAGGCTTCGGGCCGCCTACGGGTTGTAGGCCAATTTACACTCTTATCAATGTGAATGTTAATATGTCAATGTGAATATTCACATTGTCAACGGGTCACGTCGGGCCTTCTGGCTAATTTTATACTCTTATTAATGTGAATATTAACATGTTAATGTGAATATTCACATTGTTAACAGGCTGGGCCGGGCTTGCCCCAGGCCGCCCCACAGGCTGTGGGCAGGTTTCGGGCAGCCACGGGGTGCGGGCTAATTTTACACTACTATCAATGTGAATGTTAACATGTCAATGTGAATATTCACATTGTCAACGGGCCGGGCTAGGCCCGCCTCGGACTGCAGGGGGCTTTTGGCCGCCCATGGGCCGCGGGCCAATTTTATACTCTTACCAATGTGAATGTTAACATGTCAATGTGAATATTTACATTGTCAACAGGTGGGACCGGGCCCGCCCCGGGCAGCCCATGGGCCGCCAACGGGTTTCGTGCCAGCACGGGACGCGGGCCAATTTTACACTCCTATTAATGTGAATGTTAACATGTCAATGTGAATATTCACATTGTCAACGGGCCGGGCCCGCCACGGCTCGCAGGCGGTTTTCGGGCTACCCACGGGCCAATTTTACATTCTAACCAATGTGAATTTTAAAATATGAATATTCACTTCATAAAATTGTTAATCGTTCAAAAAATATTTATAAAGGTATCAAAATTAAATATAAGGGCATAGGTGTCCAAGAAAATAGTGTAAATCATGAAAAATGACTTTATGGAATAAAACTATACACACATGAGACTAAATGGGTTAAAAAATTCCTTCATAGGCTTTTTGGGTTAAAACACTTCTAAATGAAATTTATCAATAAAAATTCCTTGAAAAAAAGGTAAAGCAGAGGAAAAGAAAAGAAAAATAAAAATAAAAGAAGCAAAACAAGGTAAGAAAAGAGAAAGTGCATGAGTTTAATATTTTTATTTTGTCTAAATAATTATAATGACAGAAGTTCGTATAATTTTGCAAACGTCAAAAATGATATATATTAGAATATAGATGTAATTTACTTTAAATATATATATTTTTTCACAAAAAATAGAAATAAAAAATTATATAAAATTTAAATTTTCTACTAAATAAATGACCAAATTAATATGACTCTATACACCCCCACCTTACACATTTAAACATTTATTAATAGAAAAAATTGGTATCTTTTTTTTTTTATTATTTTTTTTGAACAGGAGAAAAAAATTTTACCCTTGAATGTTGCCTAATTCTTGCTCTGTTCTTTGATTTTGGTTCGTAAATACCATTCAGTGTTGAGGGGGTATATATATATATATAGAGAGAGAGAAAACACAGGGATAGTGCGTGTGTTTCTAGAGAGAGAAAGCATGGATTTGTTGCCGGCAGAGTCATCGCAGATCAAGAAGCATGGATTCAGGTCGCTGAAGCTAGTAAACGCGAACATGGACGATGTTCTCGCTGAAAAGCCATTTGGAGTCGACTACGGGAGGCTCGAAAATGGTCTCTGCTACTATGTCCGATCCAATTCCAAACCCAAGATGAGAGCTGCTCTAGCACTTGCTGTCAAGGCTGGGTAAGTGTTTTAGGGCTAACTATTTTTTGCTTTTTTGTGCGCATTGTGTGTTCAATTTGTTGGAATTAGGAAATTTGATGCAAGTTTAGTTTTTGTGCTTGTTTGTAATTGTGGATAGTTTAAATTATGTTGAATTAATTTGGAGTTTGGGTGATTATGATGGGATTTTGAATGTACTTGGCGTATTGCGAAATTGATTCCATTTTACGAATTTGATTGTAGCTTATAAAAATGAAAATGGGTAAATTACAAATACATCCTTAGTTTTGTTTGAAATATGGATTAGGCCGGTGGTTTTCCAAATTACAAATACCCTTGTTAGCATTTTGGGAAAATTGCAAATACGTGGTATATTCACAAAATATTTACAAATTTTATGCCACAAAATATTTACAAATTCATGGAAAGGTTTATCACTTTAATTATTAAAATTGATAAATTTTACTACTGATTTGAATTTTTTTTTTGAAAACTTTCACTGAATTGCAATTTCCCCTAGAATATTTTTATTTATAGAATTAACCAAAAAAAGAAAAAGAAAAAATTCTAACTAGTCTGTTATGCAACAATAAAATTATTAGAATTTGTTAAATGAAATATAAATCTGTCATTATTAAAAACTATTGATTGACTTAATGATTTATTAATAAAATAGATTATTTGTTATGCAATTAGAAATTTGAAGGGACGAGATGTATTTTCTAGAACCATAGGGGGCAATTTGTATTTCAAGCAAATCTCATGGGGTGGATTTGTAATTTACCCAAAGAAAATTGATTGTAATTTTTCATGGCCTATTGCATTCTACTAGAAAGAAAACTTTGCATAATTAATGGTTAATTCAAGCAAGTCAAAAGGAGGTGGAAAAAGGGGAGGCATGAGTGATTTACATGCGAAAGGGCTTACCGATTATGTACACTAGCGGCAAGCACAATGAATGGTGGGAAACCATCGATATTTTCTTTATGTAAGATAGTAATCTTTAGAAATGAAAGTTTAAGACCAAGTAGACAATTTACTTTTTAATTTTCAATAGGTCCTATGAAAATTTCATTTCAATATATAGTTTGATCAATATATATTGAAATAACAAAACAGTCCACAACTCGCCATTTGCATTTTCCTTTCGAGTTTAAAGTGTTAGATACAAAAGTGGTGTACATAAGTTTACTTACTTGTTCAATTGTTGAAATCCATTTTTACTAGCATTATATATTCTTATCAATCCTTACTTTCTATGAAGTATGGATAGGATATGAATGAGACACATGGTTGACACATTAAAGATACGTTAATTTGACAAATTCTGAACTAGTAGAGTACTGCTTTGATATCAATATTTTCTTCTTCTTTAAGAAGTAAGCAAAGTATTGAAAAACTGTTTTTGTATTTATTCTAATAATTCTACTCTAATACTACGCAAGAAAAATATCACAATTTCAATTTCATAATAGTTCATTATAGGGATGATCTCCCCAATAGACTACTAATATCCAGAATACTCTTGACTTCTTTCATCATGATGCTACATTTTCATCAATGATGTCTAATGGCTCTAAAATTGTACCGTTTGAAAAAGTAATGTCTATTATCTTGAGAGATGAAAAGAAAAAGAGAAATAACTTGTTCATCTCTCTATTTTCTACCTTCCTCATATCGAACACAGCTAAGTTTTCTGTTTCCAAACCTTAATTTAGTTTCCACATTGGCCATCTCTCCCTTAATTCTCTCTTAAAAAACTGGGATAATTCTTACTCCTTCCTCGTCCCTAAACCATCACTCTTGGGTTTTTTGGACAAATTCACTTGAATATTTATTTATTTGTTGTTATTATATTTTGCCCAAGTGATTTGGGTAATTCTCCAACACAATGCATGATGATTTCACCATTCAGTGTTGAGGGGGTATTGATCTCGACCACTAGGGTTTTGAAAATGAACAATTTGATTTGGATGTCGTTGCACCTGACGGTCTCATTGTTAGGGGTTTTGGTTGGGTTGAGAATTTGGGGTGGAATAGTGAAGAAGGGCAGCAGATAAGAGAAGAAGAGAAGAAAAAATAGAGAATGGGGTGAGGACCTTTTATTTCTCTATGTAAAATGTATATGAGACTCTTAAACAAAATGGGCAACGATCATTATCTTTAAACAGTAAAGGATTACAATATTTTAACATTTAAATGAGGTGGCGACAGGTGAAGTAATAAACTGGACGATTCTCTTCCATCTCCTCTCTTCCAGGCCTACACGCTTATAGTCATACCTTTATAATCATTTCTACTTTTTTGAACTTTTAAACAATTTGAGGCGTTAAATTTGTTGCAGCTCAGTTTTGGAAGAGGAGGATGAACGTGGAGTTGCTCATATAGTTGAGCATCTTGCTTTTAGTGCCACAAAGAAATACACAAATCATGATATCGTTAAATTTCTTGAAAGTATTGGGGCAGAATTTGGCCCTTGTCAGAATGCAGTCACATCTGCTGATGAAACCGTTTATGAGTTGTTTGTTCCTATTGACAAGCCGGAATTGTTATCTCAGGCCATTTCAATCTTGGCAGAATTTAGCTCGGAGGTAGCAACCAATTCTCTGTTGTGTGATAATCTTCATAGTTTCATTTTTTTACTTTATTCTTTTTACCACCTGTTGCCATTTAGGTGCGAGTCTCGACAGACGATTTGGAGAAAGAAAGAGGGGCTGTTATGGAGGAGCACAGAGGGAACCGCAATGCAAATGGAAGGATGCAGGATGCACATTGGGTTCTGATGATGGAAGGTTCTAAGGTAATTTTTAAACTCTACCAATTTATCAATTTTGAGTCTCATGAACTGGTGAGGTTCTTTACATGGTCGTTGTACTTGATTCTTCCTGCATGGTTGGAGCTTGTTTGACCATTTACTTTCAAACTAACTTGAATCATCTTCACATAAAGATCACTGCTCCCTTGTAATGTTAATATTGTGCTCACATCTTCTGTTTAATGTTAACATCTTCGATATGTTATTTCAGTTGCTATTTGTCATTTCAACTATGTATGTAGCAATACTCACACACATAGAAAAGGCTGTTGCATTTTTTGCCTTGTTTGTTTGTTAGTTTTTTTTTTCCCCCTTCTTTGCAAAAATGGTTTCTGGGTTTTTCAAATTGTATTGTATTATAGTTTTGTGTTTTACTAATATCATTGCTTCATTGAGCATCCTTGAGTCAGTTACAAATGCATATTTATTTGATTGATGACTTGATATTTGGTTTTTTGCGGGAGTTATATTAAGTTTGTGCCCTTGTAAATTTTCATTTGTTGATTGCAGTATGCTGAGCGTTTACCAATTGGGTTAGAAAGGGTAATCCAGACAGTTTCTGCTGATACTGTGAAGCAATTTTATGGGAAGTGGTACCATTTACACAATATGGCTGTGATAGCTGTTGGAGATTTTTCTGATACACAGGTTGGAATATGCTAGCATTTAGATTTTCCTTTTATACAAAGAAGTTTATTTGTTGTCGAACTTTTGTTAACTCTCTGTCGTTCTCTGGCTCTCTCTCTCAGAGTGTAGTTGAGTTAATAAGGACCCACTTTGGAGATAAAAGTTCATCACCAGATCCTCCACTTATACCTCTCTTTCCAGTTCCATCTCATGAAGAACCCCGTTTTTCATGTTTTGTTGAATCTGAAGCTGCTGGGGTTAGTAGCGACTGGACTTTTCATCCAATTACGTAGATTTTGGTTTACTTCTGAATACATCAACATGCAAGTGCATTAAACTAGCACATGAAAATTTTAGTTTTAGAAATCTTACTTCCAATTTCTGTATAACAGTCTGCAGTGATGATCAGTTGTAAGATGCCTGTGGATGAGTTAAAAACTGTGAAGGACTACAGAAATTTACTTGCAGAGTCGATGTTCTTTCATGCTTTAAATCAGAGGTTTTTTAAAATATCTCGTGGAAAAGATCCTCCATATTTTTCATGCTCTGCTGCTGCTGATGTCCTAGTTCGTCCAGTGAAAGCCTATATAATGACTTCATCTTGTAAAGAGAAAGGGACTATTGAGGCCCTAAAATCAATTCTTACTGAGGTGTGTATTTAATATTGATGTAGGGATGTACTTGCTTTTCCTTTGTTTTATTAATGCCCTGCATTTCAGGTTGCTAGGGTTCGGCTGCATGGATTTTCTGAACGTGAAATTTCTGTTGCTCGAGCTTTGCTAATGTCAGAGATTGAATCTGCCTATTTGGAACGTGATCAAATGCAATCAACCAGCCTGAGGGATGAATATTTACAAGTATATACGAGTTATTGATTTTCTATTTTTTTATTCAGTTTTTATGAAATCTGGCAGCAATTTACACTTCTTTTTAAAAATTTCCCAGCATTTTCTCCGCAATGAGCCTGTTGTTGGGGTTGAGTATGAAGCACAACTTCAAAAAACTATACTACCTCGTGAGTATTTATTAATGTAACATTATTAAATTTACTGGTTTTCGGTTTCCTGTATAAAATAAGATGTGGAAATATGTTAATTGCTCTTGTAACATCTAACATATGCATAGATATATCGGCATCTGAGGTATCCAAGTATGCGGAGAATTTTCGAACATCATGTAGCTGTGTTATAAAGACCATTGAACCTCGGGCTACTGCAACAATGGATGATCTTAAAACTGTTGTGCCAATGATCAATTCTCTTGAGGAAGAACAAAGCATACCTCCTTGGGATGATGAGCACATCCCAGAAGAAATTGTTAATATAAAACCAAATCCAGGGTAAACTTCTACTCTCTTTACACTACAGTAACTCTTACGTTATCTGCTAATAAATATAAGAACCCCGAACTATTAGGAATTCTGCAGCAATTTCTTTTGTTTTGTAGTCATATGTTCATCCTTTAAATTTTGTGAGTTCTCAAAAGCATTATTGTCAAACACAATGGTGTATTTATAGTACTTTTTGGCTTCTATGCATAATCTTGATTGGGTCTATTTGCTTCAAATCATATTTTGGATGCTTATTCCTCTGTCCACTTTTGAGGTACAATTTTCGTAAGGAAATAAAATTATCATTGATCTGTAACTCTTTCTATATGCACACAACAATAACATTGTTTTGCTGCAGAAATATTTGCACTTGTTTCTTTTTCGATGGTCCCCTGTGAGGCTTATAAGATGACGAGTTTTTAGTCTTAATAACCAAATGCAGTTTAAAAGTCTTTTAAAGTTATCTACAAACGCCAATGATAATTACTTCTATACAACCGTTTTAAAACTCGTAAGTAAATCCATAAGTAATATTATTTGAAGTCTGAACATGGTCATTCTATCCGCTGTGTTCCAGGGGTCAAATCCTTGGAAACTGATGATGCTTTACTTTCTAAGAAAAATGGGATAAATTTAAATTTACCTATGGCATGCACAATTATCCATATTCAAATATTTAAATTCGATGAACTATGTTTAAGTATGCTTTTTGAAGCAATTCACTCTAACCAAGCCACACACACAGACCTCACTTCCTCTTCCCTCAAATAAGACTAGAGGGGGATCTGATAAATTAGGTTACAGAAAGGTTCCTATCAATGTCCATAATTACTTGCAACCATGAATATTGTTATCCTGTTTTGTCTTTGTTTTTAACTCGAGGTTGTCAATATTCTTATGATTGTCAAAGAATTTGCATTAGTCTCATTGACTTCCCGAAGGCATATGGGGTTCCAACTTTTATCAAATCATATACAATACTTGTTGGCATATTATAATCACCGAAAGGCACAAATAAGACTAGAGGGGGATCTGATAAATTAGGTTACAGAAAGGTTCCTATCAATGTCCATAATTACTTGCAACCATGAATATTGTTATCCTGTTTTGTCTTTGTTTTTAACTCGAGGTTGTCAATATTCTTATGATTGTCAAAGAATTTGTATTAGTCTCAATGACTTCCCCAAGGCATATGGGGTTCCAACTTTTATCAAATCATATACAATACTCACATAATTTACCTCTTTAGGGCAATGATTGAAGTTCTCATAGCATGCAGTTTACAAATCATATTTGTATCAGGTTCCAATACTCGGCGCCGATTGAAAAAAGGTTCCAATAATCTTTGAATACTTGCAGAGATTGGTCAACATTTCCTAAAAATATCCATACATTAGATATATACACATTATATATACCTGCATCTATTTTGAACTAAAAAATACGTATCCCAAATTTCTTGAACTCTTGTAGACACGTCTGAATGCTTTGAAATTTGAGATGTTTCTGCTTCTCAAAATTTGAGATGTTCTCTGTACTCTTTGAGTGTAATTGTTAGGAAAAACACAACTAGTGTTTCAAACATTTGCAATATTTCTTATATAGGGAAATGAGTGAAACTAGTAATAATTTGTTTTGAATTTGGTACCAACTTCTAGTCCATGCAACATAGCCATCACTTTCTCGCATGAATTATTATAATGAGTTGGAATGTTGATAAAATCATAACAATTGGTTATTTGTCATCATTATGTGTACCTATGGGATAGTGCAGCAGGTTGAATATATGATCTAAACCTTGCTCATATGTTTTGTTTCAGGGATATCGTGCAGCAGTTTGAATATTCAAATATTGGAGCTACTGAGCTAATTCTGTCAAATGGCATGAGAGTTTGCTATAAGTATACGGACTTCTTCGATGACCAGGTATAAGCTTGTGTGGGCAATATAGTAAAAAATTTACATTTTGAATTTCCTGTGCATGGGTGAGATGGTTTATTGACACTATCTTATACTGACATAGAACACAGACCCATAATTCAATTAGAAGTTTCACTAAAGAATTAAAGATAGAAGAGTGTAAATTCAAATTTTCAAATTAAATAAGAATTTGGCAGGAAATTTCAATGATATTACATTTTTGTATACATACAGGAAATTCATTGTTTTGAGAAAGACTTAATCTACAGAGAAGCATGTACTGCTAGTTTATGGCACAAACATTAACTGGAATCCCTATGCACTGGCTAGCATGTTGATACAGTAGATATTTAACCTAGTTTCTACCAAATTATTTCTTTGTTTGCTTGTAGATTTAACTGAGTGAATATCCTCTAGCATCAGTCATATCATAATAGTAATTACTATTAACATTTTGTTTAAATAGGTTCTCTTCACAGGGTTCTCATATGGGGGTTTATCAGAACTGCCAGAAAATGAGTACTTCTCATGCTCAATGGGTTCAACCATCGCTGGAGAAATTGGTGTTTTTGGTTATAGACCATCAGTTCTAATGGATATGCTTGCTGGTAAGAGAGCTGAAGTTGGAACAAAGCTTGGAGCATATATGAGAACCTTTTCAGGTGACTGCTCACCTTCGGACCTGGAAACTGCCTTGCAGGTTCGTACTTTAGATAGCCTCTGTCCAGTATTCTGCTTTCTTTTCCACAAAGCACTTTAATGCTATGTTACATGGACTTTTCAAAATAAATCAAATACCCGTGTCGGACACCCGACACTCGGACAAGGGTATGAGATATGTGTCGGATACTTTTCAACGGATACTTCTTATATAATTGTATATAACACTATTATTATATGTACATATTGTTGTATAATTGCTATAAATGTCATTTTGACACTATAAGTTAAATATAATACCATTTTATCTCACATATTAGATTAAAAATATAAAAATATGACATTTTTTTGCCGAGTCCGCGGATCCTTAAATTTATGATTTGATGAGTCCGACCTCTAGATACATACCCGTACCCGACACCCGTACCCGAATCCATGTAACATAGCTTTAATGTATATATGTGGTGGGTTGCACAAAAGGATTTAGAATGTCACATTCTTCTATATTCTGCCAGCACATCAACAAGTGTCAAACTGGCATAATTGTTAGATTGCAAACACTTTGTACTGTCCAACTCTATTCGTTTCATGAGGACTGGAACTAGGCTGGGGGATTGAGGGGCCCAAATTCCAAGCCTTGAAATATCTCCTCACATTCTACTGTATGTTTTTGTGGGGTGTACTATGGACATACCTGTGCACGAGGCTCCCAGTTAGAGAAGGATCTAGGATAGGTAGTAGGTAGGGTGACTTGCTTCTGCTCTTTTGTGGAGAGACTGATTCCTGCGACTTGAACCTATTTTTTGGGATGTGTTATTACTAATGAAAAAGAAGTCACATAATATAATATTACTCAACCCAACAAAGCTTTAATCCCTTATGATGTAAGATTACTAGTGATAAATGTTACAGTGGCACTCTGAGATGTAACATGTATATAAGTATCTCCTCCTTGAAATCCCCAACTCTGCCTTCTCTTCTGCAATTCTCTTGCTCCTGTGTTGTTGGAAGCCTTTTTCCATTGATGCCTGCTGGTTTAGTACTACTATGAACTATAAGTTTTACCTTTTCTAAGTAAAAAGTCATTTTAGATTATGGTTGCTCCAAATCTTAGTCCTAAAAAGCTCCTCATTATAGGAACCTGTCTCCATTCCCTAAAAGGTTGTGGTTTAATTGGTGTGAAAGAAGTGAAAACACTTAAAACAAAAGGGCCAGGCCAATGCACAAGGCTCCCTCAAATTCAAGGTCGATTAGATGTATGCAGCCTTACTCCCCTCCCCATGTGATAGGCTGTTTTTGTGTTTTGAATCCATGATGTTTGGGTTGCAATAGGGAAATGTTACTGTGGTGCCAACACCTGCCCTCTAATTAGGATTGCCTCAAAATACCATCCAGTGGATTGTGGAGATTTGTGAGACTACTAGCTGGAGTAATACTGGCTATGCTTCATTATGTGGTGGGCTAAAGGTTTTGTTGTAGGTTTGAGATTTAAAAAGGTGGAAGAAAGAATTGAAACATTATAGATGTGTAGAGATTTCTTTGATGTCTGAACTAATCTCTTATGGAGTTGATATGTATATATTTTTAGGCTGCTAGATGTCTCCATTTTCCAAGTTTTGAAGAGCCTCAACAGTTTGCTGGACCTTTCTCTTAACAAGTTCCTATCAAAGTGATGAGTATATAGATATCTTTGGGCTGCTGGATTTCTCCTCGCTCTGGTAGCACAGGGACTTAATAATTTTTCATTTTCCCACGGTTTCTGTATGGCACCACCCTATGTTTTTCAAATGTACAAGTGTATATTTCATATTTAGTTAACACGGTGTCCAAGTCTCGTAGAGCAACCTATTGTCCCCTTGGAATGAAGTCTGTAGATTTAGAGAAGAGAAAGAATTAGGGTATGAGTTAGACCTCATCCCCTTTTATATAGATAATAATCAGTAATTATAGGAGTGCCACAAGGCATAAATTATGGGCCAGCCCATTACACCAATTACGGGAGAAAATCAAATAAGAATAAAATCACACAATGTTATTTCCTATTCTAACACTCTTCCTCAAGCTGGTGCGAAGATATCTCTCATGCCCAGTTTGTTGAGAATGCCATTAAATGATTTGCTCCCTAGTCCCTTGGTGAGAATATCTGCTTAGTTGGTCCCCGGTCTTCACAAAAGGAATACATATGGTGCCATTAGTGAGCTTTTTCTTGATGAAATGCCTATCAATCTCCACATTCTTAGTTTTATCATTTTGAACTGAATTATGAGCTATGTTGATTGCGGCTTTGTTGTCACAGTATAATCTCATGGAATCTGTTTGATGTAAACCCAAGTCTCCCAACAATAGTCTAATCCATAGCAACTCACATACACCTTGAGCCATAGCTCTGAATTCTGCCTTAGCATTGGATCTAGCAACCACATTCTGTTTCTTACTTCGTCATGTGACTAGGTTGCCTCCAACAAATGTGCAATATCCCAAAGTTGATTGTCTGTCAGTGATTGATCTAGCCCAATCTGCATCAGTGAATGCCTCCACGCTGAGGGGTCCATGTTTTGAGAAATAGAGACCCTTTCTAGGAGAAGCCTTCAAGTATCTCAGAATTCTCATAACTGCCTCTAAGTGAAAATTTGTCGGAGCATGCATAAACTGGCTAACCATGCTCACTGCAATGGCAATGTCTGGATGTGAGTGAGATAAGTATATGAGCTTACCCACTAGCCTCTGGTATTCCCCTTGTCCACTGGATCTCCCTTTTGATCCTCACTTAGTTTCTGGCTTGGTTCTAGAGGTGTATCACGTGGTCTACTCCAAGCATTCCCGTTTCCTTTAGCAAGTCAAGTACATAATTCCTCTGGCACATGAAGATACCATCCTTGGACCGAGCTATTTCAATGCCCAAAAAATACTTCAAATAGCCTAAGTCTTTGATTTCAAACTCCTTGGCTAAGTATTCTTTCAAACGAGGAATCTCCTCAATATCATCTCCTGTCAGAACAATATTATCAACATAGACAATTAGATCTATGGTTTGAAAGGTTTGCTCAAGCTATGCTGAAATATGGGTTCAAGCAAAGTCAAGCTGATCACACCTTGTTTGTGCAACACTCCTCACATGGTAAAACCTTTCAAACCTTTTAGGAGACTGCTTTAGCCCATAAAGTGACTTTCGGAGCCTGCATACTTTATCATTGGACTTAGCATCTGCAAAATCAGGAGGAATATCCATATAGACTTCTTCTGCTAAGTCTCCACGAAGGAAGGCATTCTTCACATCAAATTGATGAAGTGACCAATCCAAATTTGCAACAAGAAAGAGTAAGATTCTCACAGAATTCATCTTAGCAACTGGTGCAAATGTCTCCTGGTAATCCACCTCATAAGTCTGAGCGAAACCCTTGACAACCAGTCTTGCTTTGTACTGTTCTATGGAACCATTGGCTTTGTGTTTTACCTTGTACACCCACTTACACTCAACTGGATTTTTGCCTCTAGGTAACTCCACTAACTCCCAAGTGCCACTCTTGCTGAGAACTCTCATCTCTTTCATCATGGCATGCTTCTATTCAGGAATAGAGAGAGTATCCTGAAAATTGGTAGGGAGACCCACAGAAGACACTTTAGACAGAAAGACTTTATATGAGGTAGACAGATTAAACTAAGAGACATGATTACTAATAGGATGTTGAATACATGACTTAACTCCTTTCCTATTAGCAATGGGAACATCAAGATCTGAAAAATCAGGAATAAGAGCATTGGAATTAGAATTACCTGGACTCTCAGGAGAGAGGGTGACTTTGTATACTTATCCGGAGAAGAAGTTGGCAGTGGAGGAAGGAAAGTAGTCTCTTGCATCTAGGTGACTTGCTGTCTGTTCTTGTCTCTGATATAAACTTTGCTTGCTTTCTTTTCCATAACAACTACTGGCTTATCATTCTTTATTTGTTCAACCACTGGCGGAAGTGAAACAGGAATCTCTTCACACCAAGGCTCCCTCGGAAGGGATGACTGTGATACCGGGGAGGCCAAAAAGTAAGGCTGAAACTCAAAAAAGGTGACATCCATAGAAACAAACTATTTGCGAGTGGGAGGATGATAATACTTATAGCCCTTTTTGGTGGCAGAATAATCCAGAAAAACACACTTAAGAGACCTAGAATCCAATTTACCACGAGTGGGTGAATGATTATGGACAAAGTAAACACAGCCAAAAGTCTTAGGAGAAATGGAGAACCCGGAAGGGTTAGACTCCGAACAAAACTTGAAGAGGTGTTTGTTTTTTAAGGACTTGGATATGAAGACAATTAATCAAATAAGCGACAGTGAGAACGGCTTCCCACCAATAGGAGCGAGGAACCCGCATCTCAAAGGATAGACAATGGGCGACATCAAGGAGATGGCAATTTTTGCGTTCTGCAACACTATTTTGTTGAGGGGTGTTAGTACATGAAGTCTTGTGAATAATGCCATGAGTGGCGAAGTAAGTGGTAAGACCAAAGTCAATATATTCCCTCCCATTATCAGAATGTAGAATTTTGACAACTGCCCCAAAATGAGTACAAATCAGTTTATGGAAGTTTTGAAGCACAGAAAATACCTCACTCTTATCTTTCATCAAATAGACCCAAGTGGCCCTGGAACAATCATCTATGAAGGTAACAAACCATTTTTGACCCATTAAAGACACAAAACGGGATGGACCCCATACATTAGAATGAATAAAAGAAAATGGAACTAAACTTTTATTAAGAGAAGGTGCGAAAGAAGCTTTATGTTGTTTTCCAAGTTGACAAGACTCACATTGAAAATCTGACACATTACTTTTCTCAAAAACAGAAGGAAATAAATGCTTAAGTAATAAAAAAAGGGATGTCCTAAGCGACGGTGCTACAGCCAAATGTCTTCCTTGGTAGATGGTAACTAAATAGATGAATGAGCCAGCTGGTCAGTCTGATCCAGAATGTATAGCTCATGTTCCTCTCTACCACTGCCAATTCTCTTCCTCGTGATAAGGTCCTGAAAAAGACAATGATCTGA